TTTTTTTTTTTTTCATAGAACCCAGCTTCTTAGATTAGTCAGCATACAGGTTGAATCACTATGGTGAAAGAATACAACCCTGTCACACACTTTTCTTAATTTTAAAACATTCAGTGTTCCCATGTTCTGTTTGAACAGCTGCCTCTTGGCCTATGTACAGATTCCTGAGTACAATTAAGTGTCCCGGAATGCTCATACTTCGCAATATTGTCCATAGCTTGTCATGATCCACACAACAGAAAGCCTTTGCATAGTCAATAAAGCACAGGTAAACATCTTTCTGATATTCTATTTTCAGCTTAGATCCACTGGACATCAGCAATGGTATCCCTCATTCCATGGGCTCTTCTGAATCTGGCTTGAACCTCTGGAAGTTCTCTGTCGATGTATGATTGTAGCTGTTTCTGTATTACCTTCAGCAAAACTTCACTTGCATGAGATATCAAAGAGATTGTTCGATGATTTCCTCATTCCGTTGGGCCACCTCTCTTTGGAATGGGCACAAATATGGATCTCTTCCAGTCAGTCAGCCAGATAGTTGTCTTCCACATTTCTTGGCAGAGATTAGTGAGTGCCTCCTGTGCCACCTCACTTTCTTGAAGATATCAATTTTTATTCATTCCATCAATTCCTGGTGCTTTGTTCTTTGCCAATTCCTTCAATGCACTTTGGACTTCCTCCCTAAGTCTCACTGGCTCTTTATCATATGCTACCTCTTGAAATGATTGAACATTAACCATTTCCTTTTGGTACACTGACTCTGTGTATTCCTTCCATCTTGATGCTTTCTGCATCATTCAATAATTTGCCCAGAGAATCTTTCAATAATGAAAGTTGAGGCTTGAATTTTTTCTTCAGTTCCCTCAGCTTCAGAAATGCTGAGCGTATTCTTCTTTTTCAGTTTTCTGATTCCAGATCTTTGCACATATGATTGTAATATTGGTTTTATTTTCTCAAGCTGATCTTTGAAATTTTCTGTTCAGCTCTTGGACCTCCTCATTTCTTCCATTTGCTTTAGCATCTCTACGCTCGAGAGCAAGTTTCAGCGTCTCTTCTGACATCCAATTGACCTTTTCCTTCTTGTCTTATCAATGACTTTTGCTTTCTTCCTCTATGATGTTCTTGATGTCATCCCACAACTCTTCTGGTCTTCGCTGTTTAGTGTTTAATGCATCAAATCTGTTCTTCAGATGGTCTCTAAATTCAGGTGGGATAAATTCAAGGTCATATTTTGGCTCTCGTGAACTTGTTTTCATTTTCTTCAGCTTCAGTTTGAATTTGTGTATGAGTAATTGATGGTCTGTTCCACAATCTGCCCTTGGCCTTGTTTTCACTGATGATATGGAGCTTTTCCATCTTCTCTTTCTGCAGATGTACTCAGTTTGATTTCTATGTAATCCATCTGGTGAGGTCAATGTGTATAGTCTGTTATGCTATCTGAAGCAGGTATTTGAAATGAACAAATCATTGGTTTTGCAGAATTCTATCGCATGATCTCCAGAGTCATTTCTATCAACATGGCCATATTTTCCAACTACTGATCCTTCCTCTTTGCTCCCAACCTCTGCATTCCAATCACCAGTAATGATCAATACGTCTTGATTGCATGTTTGACCCATAGCGACCCTGTATAGAGTTTCTGAGGAGCTGCTGGTGAGCTTCAACCACTTGCAACTTCAAATGGTATTGTAGTCTGGCGCATTAATCCACACTGGGACTCCTATAGGCCCCCCCATTTTATGTAGCCAGTGTTGATAAGTTGCCTGTTCCTATCAACCCTGTATACAGAGGGGATAGGATTGATATTAGATGTGAAGACTCCTTCCCTCTCCATTGGTTTTTTGAACTACTATGGTGGTCGTGGTGTGGTGTGCCATGGGGTCGGTTCTGACTCATAGCAACCCTGTACAGGTTTTCTGAGGCTGTAAATCTTTACAGGAGCAGAAAGCCTCATCTTTCTCCCACAGAACAGCTGGTAGTTTCGAACTTCTGACCTTAAGGTTCACTGCCAGTGAAGGTCATATCGTTGCAATTTACATTTGCTTTCTATATCAAACTTCTTTATTCTAGTTGAGTTGTGATCATCAAGCCATCGAATCTAGGTCACATAGGTAGTACTGTCTGCAAGTTTGGGCATTCTCATGTATCTCCCTTCACGTTGTATCAGCTGAAGTCTTCACTTTTACCTCTTGCCCACCGTGGCTAGGTCATTGTCCATGGACTCAGGAGTTCCCAGGTCTCCTCAGACTTTGGACCAACCAGCCCTTGCTCTTCTCTCTCTCGTCTCAAGGCTGGCAGGATTATATGGAACATGGTTGAACTCAGCCCATGTCTTCGTTACTGACTTTCCCCCACTTCCACTCACAAATAGACCAGTACAATCACCAGTTAACTTACATGCCTGCTCGTGTGTTCCCTTTGCGTTTCAGTCTTGTAAGGAGTGGTTTGTCCTGAAGAGACTTGATGGCTCCCAGGCGAACAGGTTGTTTGTTCTTGTAATAGCCAGTCTGCTGGGTTTTTTGGTTTTGTTTTTTCCTGCTGGTCTTTCTTTCAAGAAGTATTTTCTGTGCCTCCAGACACGCTGGGTTGGTCTGCATGTCCTTTCGTGTGGTAATGTCCCACCTCAGAAGGTTCTAGATAAGGCTCAGGATTCCACCTAAGGTCCTGTACGCTACAGAGACTCAACAAGAAGCTTACTTCACTGGGCAAGTTCTAGAACTCCTTTTAGGTAGTTCCATTCAGTTATAGACTGAAGATGGGCTTAGACGTTTACTGTAATCATGTTGCCCACAAAGTTTTTGAAGCCCTCTTATAGTCGTTTATCCAAGAAAGGTAAGTTAGTGGGCAGAGTTTCCTTTCAGCTTTTCTCCTCTATGGTGACAGTGCCTGACACCTGTGTACGCTCATGCAGACTCTTATACAGTTCTCATAAAGTAAAGGTACTGAGAAACAAGCTGAATCCAGTAATGTATATTCAGGGTCTTAAGATACTCTTTTGCAAACAACATGATCCCTTCTAGGTGTCCCAACAGTGGTTTTTGCTAGAGTACGTTCCCTGACTCCCATCCATCCATTCTGTACTTTCACTCTGGTCCCATCTTAACAAGAAATGTTTCAGGAAACCCACTGTGTTTCACTATGGATAATTGAAATACCCTTTGCACTTTCCTAACCAACAGATGAGCCATCTGCCCTTTTCTCTAAACTCTAGGCTCTGTCTGGCTTATGGGGGATCTGATGTGTCTAGATGTTTCTACTGGCTCATGCAGCGAGCTGGATTCCCATACAGAGAATGCCAGCTAACCAACAAAATGGATTGCCTTCTTCTGCAGCACCTTAAAGAAACGTTTTGTCATTTAGATCAGGTGGGAGCAAAACCGTTATTACTAGTTATTTTTGTTTCTCTGAAAAATGTGATATGTATCATGTACTTAACAATTTAAAAAATTTTATGTTGCCATTTTCAACATAAAGCTATGATGAAGTTCTTGAGGAATAATGGGAGTTTGTGGGAAAGAGCAGAGCAGTGAGGATGTGTCTCAAACTCTGGAAAAGACCTCATTATTTTAGGATAGAGAGTTTATTAGATTTCTCTCTCCTTAGGAGTCTGACCTTTCTGGTAAAGGATGAAGATAAGCCTTTAGAAGTAATGAATAGTAAAAGGTAAATATATAGGTACAGACATCTAATAAAAATGCATAACTTGTAACATACCACCTTCTTAGTTTAGTAATAAAATCAGTGCTAATTACTGATAGAGATGGAGTCAAGTCCTGGTGTGGCATTGTAGGATAAGCATTGAACTGCTAATCGCAAGGTCATTGGTTCAAACCCACCAGCTGCTCCTTGGAAACCTTATACTAGGATAGCTGTGAGTTGGAACTGAATTGATAATATTAACAACATGGATTTCTACCTTTTTATACTTTTTGTTTTAGTCTTTAAATAAAATCTTTTCCAAGTAAAATAATTCAGTATCCAAAAAAAAAAAAAAAATTAGTAATCGAAGGGAATTTGTTTATTGATGTGGATCATTAGTTACTATATATTGATAATGAGGGAAACAAATGCAGGTGGTCGAAGTTTCAGAAACAAAAAAAGGAAGCAAGGTGTAACTAAACTCTTGCTTTATTAAGTTACAGTGAATGTGATAGAAAGTTATAGGGCAGCCTTTTTATAGGTAAGATTTAGGTGATGGAAAGGTTTAAATAAGCATCATTTGCAGCATTTTCATGTATTTGTACTGATTCATTGACTGCATCTTTCCTGCAATCAGGATATATCTGGGCTTCAGGACCATGAATTTCAGATACGACATCCTGATTCCCCAGCCCTGCTTTACCAGTTCCGATTAGGAGATGAGAAACTTCAGGTACCATTGGGAGTATTCTTCATGTGTAGAAAGGAGGCAATCCAGGTTCAATCAGACTGAAAGAATATGTGCTTGCCTGAACCCTCTTGATAATCAGAATAACATACGGTTTTACATGATCCGCTAAACAGCATTTAAGCAATTGATTTAGTACTGTGATTAGAACAGAGCTGGGGGCCATCTTTTTTAATTAGCCACTGTGTTATAAGTTCTTATTTTGAGAGAGACACTGTTCTTAATAGGGGATTATAGATTGCTAGAGTTCTGGTAGCGTAGTGGTTACGAATCGGGCTGCGAACCTTAAGGTCAGCAGTTCGAAACTACCAGCCGTTCCGCGGGAGAAAGATGAGGCTTTCTGCTCCCGTAAAGATTTGCAGCCTTGGAAACCCTGTGCAGGGTCACTATGAGTCGGAATCGACTACATGGTACTTAACAACAACAATAGGCACTTATTTTATACTTAGTTTTAGACTTCTCTAACCTTGTGTTGTATCATATCACCCATTCAGTTGGCTGATAAGTGTCTCCTGCCTGGCCCATCGTGCACCAAAGGGAATGCTGCTCAGTGTTACTGATAAGCTATGACCTGTTAGTTTTGATTTTGGAAGAACAAAGTTTAGTGAGATCCATTTTCTCAAGAGGCAGTATCTTTTGTTGATCACTCTTACCCTTCCATACACAGGCTCCAATGGCTTTGTTCTACCCAGCAACATTTGGAATTGTGGGACAGAAAATGACAACTTTGCAGCACAGGTCCCAGGGTGATCCCGAGGACCCTCATGATGAACATTACCTACTGGCCACTCAGAGCAAGCAGGAACAGGTGTGCAGTAGTCCTGGGGTGTGAGGAGACAGTTTTGTCCCTAAAGAAGGAGTTTGCTCATAATTAATACATTATTAAAATCATTGTAATTTTATAGCCTGCTAATAATGGTGATGAATCGGGCTGCGAACCTTAAGGTCAGCGGTTCGAAACTACCAGCTGTTCCGTGGGAGAAAGATGAGGCTTTCTACTCCCGTAAAGATTTACACCCTCGGAAACCCTATACAGGGTCGCTATGGGTCGGAACCGACTTGATGGCACATAACAACAACAACAATAATGTTGATATTGCTTTAGAACTACAGAGTCGCTTTGAACCGCAGTCCAAGCTCATGAGCTGTTCCTCAGAAACACTATACAGGGTTGTTAGGGGTTGGAATTGAGTTAAAGGCACTCACCAACCACAACAAAATGAATTGAAGTCTAAATTTAAAATCTGGATTACAGATTTATTTACTCAGCTGATATGCATACAGAGTTCAAAATGTAAATTTTAATTTAATGGAGATACTTCCATTTGGTCCATATGATTTACTTAACATTATAAACTTTTGAATGCAGGTGGGGGGGGGCGGGGGGGCCCCCCATGAATAACTTTCAGACAGCTATTTGTTCTTTAATATGGAAGTTTGCCCTCACTTTGAACCAGCACTCACAACAAATTTTTCATTGCAATCACCTTCACTTGCAACAATTGCAACATTTAAATCAAGAGAACAAGGCTTCTAGCCTTTTCTTGTGCTAAAATAATGCTAAATAAGAACCATGTTAATGCTTTGGACTGCAAGGTCAGCAGTTCAAGCTCACCAGCCCTATACAGAGCATTGTGGGTCGGGTCGGAACCAACCCGAAGGCACTTTACAGCAACAAGAATCATATACACATGGTCCAACTTGCCTACAGATTCTAAAAGGCACATGAATGGACCTCGTTTGTAACCTGGGGTTGCCTGTATTTTTCCAGTAATAAGTATTTTCAGTAATATTTAACATATTTTTTAATTGTAATGTGAAAGAGGTGTGACTTAGGCTGAATTTCTTTGTCCACAGCTAATTGCAGTAATAGAATGTTTGATGAAGGGATACAAATTAAACTCCTTCACAGCTAATGAAGAAGCAGCAGCTCATGAGAGAGTAGAAAGAACAGAACACTATTAACATTTTCTAGTCTTTGTTCCTGGCCCAGAGCCAACACAAGATGGTTAGATAGATAAGCTCTAAAATTCCATTAACGTACACTGGCCATGAATGGGCAGGGGAAGTCCTTCTATATTTACATTCCAATTCAAAATCTAACCAATGATAGTAAGGTCCTGAGACCTGCCCTGCCTGCCTCTGATGGCTGTGGAATTGTGGAAGCCTCCTGATCTTCTATAGATCAGCTCTCACTCCCGAGATATCTGGGGGTGAATTTGTATACTGTGGTGTAGTTCCTGTCTGCATTATACTACTAGGCCTTGTGTTAATAATGGTGGGGTTGATGGTGGGCATCTCACCTGAGGTTATCGGATTTATTATTGTTCAGTCATAGTCATGTCTTACTTTAATGTCCTTTTGATTGATTCAAAGTCTGCAAAAGCTACTGCTGACCGAAAGTCTGCATCCAAGCCCATTGGATTTGAAGGAGATCTTCGTGGCCAGCCCTCTGATCTTCCGGAAAGACTCCATTCCCAGGAGGTGGATTTGGGATCCTCCCAGGGAGACTGTCTGATGGCCGGCAATGATTCCGAGGAGGCTCTCACTGCACTGATGTCCAGAAAGACTGCCATCTCGCTCTTTGAAGGGAAAGCCCTGGGCCTAGATAAAGCGATCCTTCATAGCATAGACTGCTGTTGTAAGCACACTTTGGGAGACCAGACATGGGAAATTAAATTAATTCCTCCCGGCAGTTAAAGAACTATAAGCACATGCTTTGTGCTTTCACTGCCAACTGTTAGGATTGCGCACCTAAACCCCTGCCATTAAGTCAATTCCAATCCATAGTAACCCTTTAGGATAGAGTAGAATTGCTCCTTAGAGTTTCCCAAGGCTGTGCGTCTTTACGGGAGCAGTCAGCCTCATCTTTCTCTTTTAGAGCAATTGGTAGGTTTTAAACCAACTTTGCAATTAGCAGCCCAGTGCTTAACCCACATCACCAGGACTCCTTGATAGGAATATAGTAGTGAGGAGATAAAACTGATTCCTTGCCTTATTGTGTATACAGCCTAGTGGTGTTGGTTGTAACATGCCTTTGAGTCTGTTGTGACTCATGTCGATCCTGTATAAAGTTTCTGAGACTAAAACTTTATGGGAGCAGAAAGCCCTATCCTCCTTCTTAGGAGAGGCTGGTGGATTCGAACTGCTGACCATACAGTTAGCAGCCCAATGCATATACCACTATATTTCCAGAGCTCCTTATACAGTGGTGAAGGAGTCCAAAATAAGTCACTAATTAGGTCCCATCGAGTCGTCACCGACTCATAGCAACCCTGTGCATGAAAGAATGAAACACTGCTTGGTCCTGGACTAATATCACAATCATTGTTAAGCCTGAGCCCATCACTGCTGCCACTGTGCCATCCTTCTCATTTGGGATCTTTTTTTCTCCCACCCTCCACTTCACCAAACATGTTGTCTTTCTCCAGAGATTGGTCCCTCCTGATAATATGTCCAAAGTATGACATGTGCAGTGATACACAAGTGAAATTAAAACTAGCAGATGCTACAGATTAGAATTAAAAGGGGCTGGCTGTGAGAGCTTCTACTTTAGAGATTTTTACTAACTAGTGGAGTCCTGGTATGGTACTGTAGGATGAGCACTAGACTGCTAACCACAAGATTGGTGGTCCATACTCATCAACTGCTCCTCAGAAACCCTGTACGCAGTCGCTATGAGTTGGAACTGACTCAGTGACACTTAACAACAGCAGGGGAAAGTATGGAGGGCAAGAGGCAGGGAAGGCTTCATTGAAGAAGAGCCACCTGAGAGAGATTTAAGGGAATGAATTGGGGCCAGCCAGTAGTACATGGGTGTAGCTTTCCAAGCAGAGGAAGAAGCTTGTGAAGAGCACTGTCATAGAAGAACAGCTAGCTGATGGACGTGAGAATAAGACTTGAGAAGTGGGTGAAATGTCCAAAATTGGACTTCAAGTTGGATCTTAAATTCTTTGAGAGTAAGAATGGGCAGGTTAGGGCATGAAGACAACAGCATGCTCACTTTTGTGCTTTGCAGGGTCATTTGGGCTGTAGTGTTGAGGATGGGTTAGAGGCTATTGTAGTTGATTACTTAACTTAGGGTAGTAGTGGATATGGAGGCAATGTTTCAAAGGATTATTAATTGTCTTTTCAGCATCTGATGATACCAAAAAGAAGATGTACAGTTCCATCCTGGTGGTGGGAGGTGGTTTGATGTTTCATAAAGCTCAAGAATTCCTGCAGCATAGAATACTCAACAAAATGCCACCTTCATTCAGGAGAATTATTGAAAATGTGGATGTGATTACAAGACCTAAGGTGTGTTGATTCGTGATGCAAAGTGGACTGTATGTAAATGAAACCACCTCTGATTCTTGTAACTGTAATATGTGTGGGCTTGTGACTTGAGAGTTGTTGAGGGATTGACTCAGGTGGAAAACTTACTTTCAGTAGGTCAGATAGGGTAGAAGGGACTCTGATCTAGGAGTGGTGGCCCCTGTTGTGCTCTCCAGGCTAGCGTGCTCTACTGCTGCCTATGTAAAAGAAGCAGATAGATGGGACAGGGAGAAGACTGGCTTCTCATGCACTGATCTCTACAACAGTTCCGTTTTTGTTTCTCTCATACAATGGCAAGTCAAAAAGTTTGCTACTTTAAAAAAAAGATATTACTACTAGGGTTGGAATTGATTCAACGGCACTTAACAACAACTAGGCTTCCAGTTCTCCCATGCACAGGTTTATTCCAAAGGAAACATTTTTAAACATGTCTCTGTGATCCATAGATGACTGCAGAGAAGTTCTCTTAGTAGTAAAGTTGTCTTTGTCTCACAAGAGTGCCTTCTGAAAAAGGTCCAACCAAAACAATCACTTTCATAGTGGGGATCTGCTGGGCCAATTCAAGGACTGCTCAGAAGGTTATGGTGACTGTTTTTAGAATCACAAGGGGGCAGTCTTAACAGATTTTATTTTCTCAAAGGACACAGGACAATTAAGGGGCTTATTAGGAAAAAGTTTTAAGAAAATTGAAAACTGCATTGGTGAGAAAAAAGCCAGTTACACTGAGAAATTGTTTATTATCCTAATAGTGCACCTGCTCATTCTTGCAAGGACTAGCTTATGAGAATTTTGTTGGGAAACCTTACCCCATCCACCATACAGCCCTGATAGGGCCCCTTCAGATTTATTCTTCTCCCTAGAGCTCAAAAGCATTTCAAAGGAACATGATTTGAGTCTCTCAGGGATGCCTAAACTGCCCTTTTGACATGTAAATGGAAGAGTACTGAATTCTTCAATAAAGAGTTAAGTACCAACAAGTTAGATTCAAAACTAGCTAGTGGTCCAGGAAGTTAGAGAGATGGAACCACCTTCAGCTGTGTATAGACCTACATGGAGGATATATTGAGAAACAATAGTATCATATTTTGGTATTTTTGTTTTTAAAAAGTTTCTGTGATTTTATACCAATAGTTTGACTTACCCTTGTATTGAGGAGTAGTCCTGGTGTGGCATTGTAGGATAATGTGTAGGACTGCAAGGTCAATTTGAATTTTAAGGTCAGTGGTTCAAACCCACCAGCTGCTTCTCGGAAATCCTACACAGGGTCGTTATGGGTCGGAACTAACTCGGCACTTAACAAGTGGTCCCTGGACTAGATGGTCTTCAAGGACTTTTTTGACTTGGAAGTATCTTGGGGAATGATCTTCCTTGAGGGATGGATTGTGGGGATCTGTATCTCTTAAACTTCAAAATAAGCTATTTATACACATTACTGCCTTTAGATCCCATTTGTGCAACAGTTGTCTAAGAAGTAGCTTCATTAATAAAAAGTTTTCTTATTTGAAATGCATGTAGTTTCAAAGGTGCTCTGTCATGCATGTTGAAAAGCTGGCTTATTGCGTATTGGTGGGGCAGGCCCCCTCTCCCCTAGTTCACATAAATTATGTATGTATTTGGAATTATTTGTTTATGCTGAAAATCCTTATCACTTCTTTAGGACATGGATCCCCGGCTGATTGCATGGAAAGGAGGGGCAGTATTAGCTTGTTTAGACACGACACAGGAACTGTGGATTTATCAGCGAGAATGGCAGCGGTTCGGTGTCCGCATGTTACGAGAGCGAGCTGCCTTTGTGTGGTGAGATGGAGAAAGTTATTTGAAGACAAAAACCCTCATGCCTTCATGGTGTAAAAGGCTGACAGAATATGCGTATTTTAACGTCATTAGCCTCAGTGGAAAAGAAATTAATTCCAACCTTATTTTGAGAATAAGACATTGATTTGAAATTTTAACCTGCTTTTGTACTCAGGACAATTAAGAATAAATCCAAATTTACTCTTCACTTATATACTCTCCTACTCCTTTCTCAGGATCTTATAAATCCTCCAAAGATGTCACATGTTGCTGTTGAACAGATCTCATGTGTTGAAGTCATCATTAAGTTATGTCCTGGTGTGATGATGTAGGATAAGCACTCAGCAGCAAGGTCAGCAGTTTAAACTCACCAGCTGCTCTTTAACCCTATCTGAACTGACTTCAGAAGTGTCATTAAGCTCTGTCATGCAAGCAGAAGTGTGAGGCTTGTGTCTGGCTCAGCCATTCCCCCTTTGTCTAGTACTACTGCCGTTAGATGTTATTTATGCACATAGAAATATGAGCCATGTGTCCTCTTGGAATTACAAACAGGAAAATTTTCTTTTTTTCCTTTCCTTCTGTTGAGAACAAAAAGACTGGGATCCATTCATGTGTAGATTTTTTAAAGCATAGATTTAAGGCTGGGATGGCTTTTGTCATGTGCCATGCTCTAGGTTGGGCTTGGGGAGAGTAAACAATTATTTGACCAACACAGAATAAAAGAAGAAAAGGATGTCTTGTTTCCTTTCTAAGCCAAAACAAATAATATAGGTATGATTTAGTTAACATGAATTATATAAGCTACTTAACTAAACTTTCATTACTTCTGACTTAATCATTAAGACCCCAAATTTCTCTTTACCTTGAAGAACCAAGTGAATGTGTTTAGAATTTATTGTGATCAGTATGATCATTTGACCAAAGAAAATAACATAGGTAATTACTATCACCTGTGGCCTAAGCCTTTCGTGAGGTTTCCAAGTCCCCAGCAAAATGAGAAGGCACCGTACTGAGTCAGTCATGGGAGGTGAGGGAGAATGTGATTCCTATCACACTCACTGTTAGCTCACAGTGAAAGATTAAAGCAAAGGAGGAGAAAAGCTGGTGAATGGAATATAGAGATAGGATAGTCAGAAATCTTAGGACAAGGAGAAACGCTTATAGCTCTTGAACATTTTACATACATCGAGTGTCCTATTGGACCGTAAGGTCAGTGGTTCAAACTCAATACCACTCCTCAGAAATCCTATCAGGGTCTCTGTGAGATGGTCTCTACTTGATGGCACTTAACATATCTGCTCAGTAGGTTTGGAACAGAGTCCATCAATATAGCAAAATAATTTCAACTTGCTAATACCATTTTTGGATGTGTGCCTTCTATTTAAAAGCTATGTTTTATGTTTTTGCTTTTAATTTCTTTGTAAAACCTATACAATGTTTGTAGGCTGTTTAAACACAATTTTACTTTTGGCTAGGATCCTGGTGTGGCGCTGTGGGATAATGTAGTAGGGACTGCAAGATCAGTTGTACCGTAAGGTCAACAGTTTAAATTCACCAGCTGCTCCTCGGAAACCCTATACAGGGTCACTGTGAACCGGAACTAACTTGATGGAACTTAACTTATATCCAAGAAGTCCAGGTGTGGTGCTGTGGAGTAAGTACTGGACTGGTACCCACAGAGTCAGCGGTTCAAACCCACCAGTCTCTCCCTAGAAACCATTTGCCAAGATCACTATGCATTGGAACCGACTTAGCACTTAATCTATATCCTAAAGTATATTTCTATTTATAATAGCTTTTCATGTAACATACTGCTCTTGTAACTGGTATGTGGTAATTCATATGAAGTTAGATTCTGATTTAAGTTTTGACATAAGCCGTATCTGTCTGATCTTACTAGCGCTTGCTATTAAGTGCTGTCAGGTCAGTTCTGACTCAGTGACCCTCTATAGGGTTTCCAAGAAGCAGGTGGTGGGTTTGAACTGACTTTGTGGTTAGCAGTCCAGTGCTTATTCTACAGTGCCACACCAGGAGTCCCTACTAGCACTTACAGCACCATGAAAACATCATGACAGGTAAGTAGTAAGTAGAAACCTTGTCTCAGCCTTTACTAAGTATCACAAGCTAGACAACAAGGTGAGTTTTCACTCTGCTTCTCTACTTGAGTTTTATTTTATGTGTAAGACATGCATTGGGAGTGGCACTGTCATTTAGGCTAATTTGTAAATATTTTAACAATCATCTGAAACTGATCTTCACCAAAACAGGTTCTGTACTCGGCTATGTGGGAAAAACCAGCATACTTTAAAAAAATCTACAAAAAGTACATTTTTATGACCACTACATAAAAGGTCCTCTTAGGAAAAAAGAAGATTTAAAATAGCACATACCTTTGTGTTCTGTCAGTCAACAGTAGTGTCTTTCTTTTGCTTAAGTAAATCATTTACACTTATCAAAAGATAAATCACCTCAGGAAGCCTAATTTTAACTTAACAAGAATTAATGTTGTTTTGAACATTAAAAACTGAAAACTCTGACAGTGTCCTCTATTAGGTAACTTATGTTGGTCTCTGAAGGTCATGTATTTTGCACAAAGTTCGTATAGGACATAGCTCTAGTTCTGTATCATTTGATCAATAAAGGTGGGTTCCGTTCTTTATTCCCTACTTTAATTATCTTAAAAATGAAGATAGAGGGTTTTTCACCTAAGAAAAAAAGTGGAGTCATGGGGTGGCACTGTAGGCTAAGCATTGAACTGCTACCTGGAAGATCAACAGTTCAAACCCACCAGCCAATCCTCAGAAACCCTGTACAGGTTTGCCTTGAGTTGGAACCAACTAGGTGGCATTTAACAACAAATAGTGATTTAGAGCAAAGGCTTCTGTGGTGCAGTGAATTACTTAATGTCTTTTCTAGTCAGGGTCTTTGTAAACTACCCCTAATGATTTGCTGATGGATCTGGGTAAGAAAAGGTGGAGGAAGATGCTGACGGATTACATGATTAAGTTGTGAGTGATTGTTAACAGGTTAATTGTGATTGTAAAAGCTTTGGAACTCTAATATGAATATAAAATGAGCCAGCTCAGAAGGAGGGGCAGGGGAGAGGTTCTCACTACCATCAAGGAAGAAGAACCAGGAAGGAGTGTGTCCTTTGGACTTCAAGATCCCTGCGCATTGAACTTCTCTTAACTCGAGAGACAAAGAGTTGTGGCATCTAAAGAGTGCTAGAGGACTGGAAGCAGTAGAATCAAGAGCCAAAGCCTGAGATAGAGCCGTGAACTCCCTGGCCCACAAAGCAAGTAAAGCTGAGTTCCACTTGTGGAGTGCGATGTTAATTGGGGAGTTAGGTTTGCTGACTCATGGAGCTAGACTTTAGTGCCTTTAGACTAAGGCTTATACAAGAGTGAAATGCATTTTGGGTATATTAACAGCAGCCCAGAAGAGCTTTATAACACTGGCCAAACAGCTAGAGGCCTTGTCGGCTGAGGAGAGGCTGTCCTAACTGGAAGACCCTGAGTTTAACCTATTAACTTCCCTGATAGATCCTTAACTGTGAATATGGTGTCTGAGTTCTCTGTGGCCACTGTAATGAATTACCAAACCCAGCTTAGAGTGCTATGGGAGGGATGGTTGCCAGCTTAGAGTGCTGTTGGAGGGATGGTTGGTGCCATACTTTTGCAGCTTGGTATTTGCTCATTAAATTTACTGTTACCAAGTTATCCAGTGCTACCTACATCCAGTGCATGGTGTTTGGCTGGAAGATGCTTTATCACAATGTTATCAAAATGGTTGTGGTTGTGGACTTACAGAGTTTTTAGATATAAAATTGATTTAATATAAATTTAATTTCAAATTTTTTCCCTACAAATAACCTTTGTATAATAAGCTTCAAGATATCCACATGCTTTCTTCCTTAGAAAGGGAAACATGGTAACATAGGAAGGCTCCAATAGCTCTTGTTCCTTGTGGGCGTCCCACGAACAGGATCAGCAGTTGTGGCAGGCTTGTGACTTCTTCCTTGCTGACACATGCTGCTTGATATGAAGTTCTTTGCAGAAAACAGTGGCGTCCTTCATGAGGCAGTACTTGGGGCAGACATTGAGTGCGTTGTAATCTTCTTTAGTTTCTGTCTCTCTAAAGTAGACCACCATGTATTTGTGTGGACACGTGGAGCTTGTTAGGTCACTGCAGAAGAGGTTGAAGGCAAGAGGGAACAGGTCTTGGGAGTTCTCACTGGAAGTGCTCTCACTCTTGCAACAGGCATCACACATGGTATTGACATCATTGGACAGCAGGAAGATTACTTTATCCACTGCTTTCTTCTGAGTGGTAAGCCACTGTACTGGGCCCATTTCGGCTATTTTCTTTTTCTGCCACTTTTCTAGAATGACCTCACTTCTGCATTGGTTTTGAAGAAATTCAGTGAAGTAACAAACCGTGTGTTGGAAGCATATTTCAGATGGGTAGACCAGAAGAACCTTAGTGGGAGGCAGTAGTGTGGCTGCAGGAAAGGAAGTCTTAACCCTTTCTGTGGGGAACAAGAGCATTTGTTATCTGAACAGCAGGCATCTTTCACTCTAGTCCAAACTACTGTGGATACATGGTCCCTCGGAGAGACTTAAAACAACTGATCACCAGGGACCTTTGTTAACTGTGAAACAGGAAGGGAAATATCTCCAAAGTTTTTTTGAACACAGTGCCTGAAACACAGGCCCTTAAAGATGATTTGAAAGGTGTGTTTTCTTAAGTCCCTACAGACTCCTGGTGTGCACTCTAGGATCAGCACTGGACTGCATACCACAAGGTCGGCAGTTCAAACCCAACTCAACAGCACTTAACATCACTAAGGCTGTCTAGTGTTGCTTTAGTGATAGGAACTGCACTGCTTTAATGATGTTGTTGTTATGTGCCATGGAGTCAGGTCCGACTCATAGCGACCCTGTACAGGTTTCCAAGGCTGTAAATCTTTACGAGAGCAGAAAGCCTCATCTTTCTCCCGCGGAACAGCTGGTAGTTTCGAACTGCTGACCATGAGATTAGTAGCCCGATTCGTAACCACTATGCTACCAGAGCTCCTTAGGGACTTAGAAAAAATGCTGCTAACTAACTGCAGCGTCAGTGGTTCAAACCCACCACTCACTCCTTAGAAACCCTATATAGAGCCACTTTGAGTCAGAACCGACTGGAAGGCACTTAATTACTAAAGCAAGCCATACAGAAACTTTAGATTTAAAGTACTTTGTATTAGGTGGTGGTTGTAATTTTATTATATTTCATTTCAGAGTAAACAGCAAAAAATTACCTCTTCATGTCACATGTTTTGATTGAGTAAACTCATGTGTTTGTACCATCTTCTATCTGCAGGGGGTGGAATTTCCTTGTGTGGTTGTTAAGTGCCCTCAAGTTGGTTCAGTCTCATAGTGACCCTGTGTAGGGTTTCCAATGCTGGTAGGTATGAACAGTTCACCTGCAGTTAGCAATTCAGTGCTTATTCTACAGAGTTGAGTGGTACCACATTTCAAGCTCTGGTACTTAACTGTATAATTCTGCTTTATTCTGTCTTATAAAACAGAAACCACTGTAACTAATACAGATTGGACAGCATCAGTAAGATATAAACACACCTCAGAGAAAAGTTTGTCTTTCTTAGATTATCTACCACATATAAAGGAGCCCCGATGGTATAGTGAGTTAAGTACTGGGCTGCTAATCACAATATTGACAGTTCAAACCCACCAGGCACTCCAGAGAAAAATATGGCTGTCTACTCCATTAACGATTTGCAACCTAGTAAACTGTAAGGAGCAGTTCTATGCTCTCCTACAGAGTCATGATGAGTTGGAATTGACTTGATGGCAGTGGGTTTTTGATGGTCTACAACATTACAAATGGCTCAGGAGGGGCTTGTGTTTGCTTTTCTACATGTGCAGAAAGGAACCTTGGTGGTGCTGTAAGATGAGGACTGGGCTGCTAATCACAAGGGCAATGGTCCAAACCTACCAGCTTTGGAAACCCTGTGTAGGGGGAAAGATAAGGCTTCTCTTTTAAAGATGCACAGCCTTAGAATCCTACACAGGATCCCTGAGTCATCAGCAACTCCATGGCAGTGAGTGTGAGTTTTGGTTGGAATTGACTTGCTGGCAGTGGGTACATGTGGAGAAGGTGAAGCAGGTAATTTTGATATGTTTGTCTCTAGCTGTGTATCTACAAGGGGGCTTTAAAAAGTTCAAGAAAAAATAGAATTGAAAGGAGCTTATATAGACTCACGGGCAGAGGGTCTGAATATGTATATAAACACTGTGATTTTCATATTTAAATATTCAGCATTTTAACATTTTTAAGGACTCTAGAGGGCACATAAACCCACACTAATGCTTTGTTTAGGTCTTGGAAGAAGTATTTTTAAACAGTAGGAACTAGCATAGAATACCTACCACTGGTAATATACAGTTCAGTACTAACCATTTTTGTTCATTTCAGTACTTTGTGTAGATGCCTTAGTGGTAAAAATAAGACAGGTGTCACTTACTAGATTTAGAAGTCCTGATCCCTGATTGAACTTGGTGTAACTTGGTTGATGAGACTTAGTTATTATCAAACAGTTTTCTTAGGGCAGCTCTAAGCATTAAATAAATGCAGTCTAACTTGGGGAAATGCCAAAATGCCTCTGGATAAATCAGCTTTAAAACACTCAACACATTATTTAAGAATTGAAGTGTAACCCTACCGTGCCTCCGCAGTAGACAGATCCCAACCACGAGCACCCACATGGCCACGAGCAAAGCCAAGAGGAGGACAGGTAGCCAGCTTCCCAGCACCTTTCTGTCTGGAGAAAACAAAGCTTATTTACTTATAGAAAATGGAAAGCAAATTATCTCGTACTTGAAGAGTAAGACGTTTACTCTGTAGGCCTGTTGTTCAGTACTGTCAGGTTGGTTCAAACTTGAACGACCCTGTTGAAATCTAGATTCCTTTAAAACTAGGGTCAGTAGTTAGGTGTTTTCCATATTGTTTATTCCAAAGATGTGGCACCCCTGAGATGAAGAAATAGTCCTCTAAATGCATTTTGGTTTCTTACTTAATATTATTGTTTTCAGGTGCCACTGAGCTGACACTGATTCATAGTGACCCTATTTACAAAAGAAACAAACATTGCCGTTCTGGGCCAATGTCCCAGTTGTTACTATGCCTGAGCCCATTGCTGTTACCACTGTGCCAATCCAGCTCATTGGGGGTCTTCCTCTTTTTTCCTGACCCTCCACTTTACTCAACATGATACCCTTCTCCAGGGACTGGTCCCTCCTGACAATATGTCTGATGTATTCTGGCCATCCTGGCTTCCATGGAGCACTCTGGCTGTACTTCTTCCCAGATTTGTTTGTTCTTTTGGCAGTCCATAGTACTTTATATATTCTCCTCCAATACCATAACGCAAATACATCAATTCTTCTATGGTCTTCCGTATTCACTGTCCAACTTTCACATGCATACGAAGTTAATGAAAATACCATGGCTTGGCCCACAGAGGAGATAGTTAAAGA